GTGTGTGTGTGTGTGTGTGTGTGTGTGTGTGCGTACGTACAGAGTCGATGAGTGTGTACGGACTCTGCATGTCACTGACTGAGGAGTACAGGGGCAGACTCAGGCGGATGGTGTAGTTCTGGCCCTTCTCGAAACACACCGGACTCACCAGCAGAACGTGTCTGTACCACAGCAAACGACACGACACGACACACAAACACAAACACAAACACAAACACACCAGGTTGTCACGGTTGGAGGAAGTCAGAGATTCAGACTCTTAGAAGAGACGGTCGTCTCACCTGGATCCAGGTGGAAGAGAGATGGACTGTTCGCCCCCGTCCTGGAAGGAGCTGAGGCAGTAACTGGGGGACTGTGGAGGACTGTGGAGTGGTCCCAGGACCCTGATTTGGACCTCCTCCCACTGCTCTGGCAGCTACAAACACACACACACACACACACACACACATGTTTGACATGTCTGAAGATCTAACGTCTGGAGACACTGCAGGTCTGAGTGTGAATCACCTGAGGTTCATATCTGATCAGGATGTCGTAGTCCATGGATTCCGGGACGTTGTCGACAGTGAACTCCAAATGCGCTCCTTCAGGGACGTTAACGAAGCCCATACCTGTCCAGGTTGGACTACGGTCCTGAGGATAAGGTCTTTGTACCACAGTCACACCCTGACACACACACAAAAACACACACCATCTCAGTTCACAACTTAGAAAAAAGAACCCGCTGACGCTCCGTTGTGGTCAGGCTCTCACAGGTCCGTGCTTGGCGTCCTCAGCCTCGTAGGTGTAGTGGTCCAGGGCGATGACGTAGAATCCCGATTCCACCTGATCACAGCGCCGTCCAAACATGTGTGGTCTGCACACACACTGTCCTGAGTGGGAGTCACAGCTGTGGGGACATGAGGCAGAGTCATCTGTCAACCCGACCATGAGGACTGTCCCGCAGTCCACACCTGATCCCTGGGACTCAATCCCCCAGCCCTACCCTGAACCCAACTTTGACTCCAACCGTTCTACAAGCTACGTTAAGAAAACCACAAGTTCCACAGTGGAAAAACAGTCAGAAATAAACTACAATCAGACAACCAGTGTCAGAGAACCTGCACCACCATCACATACTTCTCTGCCACCCCGGAGTTCCTCAAACCAGTAACATATCTTTCTACAAAGACCAAATGCTCAAACCAGTAACATATCTTTCTACAACCTGACGTAGGCTGGCGAAAATGTATTGTATGTAAAGAAAGTTTTGTTCCATCATTTTGACCCGTTAAAGTACGCCAACTAGTTAACGCTAGTTGTCTAGTGTCTGGCTGGCGAAAATGTATTGTATGTAAAGAAAGTTTTGTTCCATCATTTTGACCCGTTAAAGTACGCCAACTAGTTAACGCTAGTTGTCGAGCGGAACAGACAACGTCACGCAGCGATATGCGGCAAAGACGCTGGCTGTACGCCATACGCTGGATTGTGCTACATTCACTATCTTATATTTATGTTGTTTTTCGGAAACTTTTTTCCCCTTCATAAAGTTTAAGTCAGACTCTTCTGATGTTTTAATGTCCCAGAGTACGATGTTACCACTGTGTTAGCGTAGCGTGCGTAGCGTGACAGAGGTACTTATGTACAGAAGATTTTTGAAAATGCCAAAGATTTTGTTTTTTTATTTACTGTACTCACTTATTGTCCACAGCCCCCCCCTGGTCACAGTCACATGGTCTGCAGCCGTCCATGTCATTGGACAGACCCCAGTGCTGCGGCTGTGAGACGAAATAACAACAGATGAAAAACAATTCTCAACTTTCACTCACTCACACACACACACACACACACACACACACAGGTTTTGAAATCGTACCAGACACTGATCACAGTTGTGTCCTTCCACCAGACGTTTGCAGAAACACTTTCCTGAGTGTGAATCACAGGAGTTTCCTCCAGGCACAGTTCCCAGTGGGTTACAGGTACACGCTGACAACACACACACACACACACACACACACACATTGTTTTGTTGTTTTTTTTACTTGGTACATGCAGTGAAGTACCTTCACAAATCAGGAACTATAATACTATAATGATGACTCTGATTCACAGCCACTTACGTAGGCAGCCCTGTGGACTCTGACCCAGGCCGTAGTGACCTGGCCTGCAGTGGTCGCAGCGCTCGCCCTCCACGTAGGCCTTACAGCGGCACTGGCCTGAGATCAGCCCGGCAGAAAGGTCAGTTCTGGAGTCACACATTCCACCTTGTAATGACCCGTCTGGGTCACAGCTACAGGCTGAGGAGATGGAAGAAAAAAACATGAGAGAATCGTCGACACAAAGACACAAAGACAGTGTAACATGGACGTATAGTGGGATCATGACCAGTACAGCCATAGGTGACTATATGTCACAATAAGTCCATGGTTTTCACCCTTTGTTTACATGCAAAGAAGAACAAGTATATATAGATTATTTTTATTAATGAAATATAAGTTTACAAAATATACCCTGAACATAAAGTGTTTTTTTAATTTTTTTAATTTTCAAAACTTAACAAGGTGGCCAGTCTGAACACCCAAGCGGGCCGGTTTTGGCCCGCGGGCCTTATGTTTGACACCCCTGCTTTAAGGTCTTCTTCTTTTATGAGGGCCACTGGCGCCCCACACCCAACTGGATCGGGAGCTAATGACGCTAATGGCATGTTTGACGTTGCATTTTTGTTTGAACTGGTGGGGGCAGTGTTGTACAGTAAAGCTCATGGGTGCTGATAAAGGAACAGCAAGTAGAAGACAACAAAAACAAACGACAACTCAAATAGTGGAACCAGGAAGAATCATTCTTAGGCCACATGTCCACACGGACCACCACCGTCCCCTGGTTGGACCTCCGTCTCAGCANNNNCATTCCTCTGTCCTTTGTCTCAGAGTATGGGAGTAGTTGGACAGTGAAACAGACGTCCATTTCCAAAACCCGGTATTTAAGTCCGTTTATGGCCACGGCAGCTTCTGTGCCGTTTCACTTCAAAGGCTGGAGCTCAGCAGCTCCAGACGTGTCACACACTCACGTCCCTCAGGACATGGACATGAACCTTCTGGAGTCAGGAGTGAACCATGGGGGGGTGGGCGGGGGGGGTTGAGGACAGAGGGTGAGACAGAGGTCAGACTTACGTTCACAGATGTGGGGGTCCCTCAGGGACCTCTCCGGGTGCTGGTAAAAGAAGGGAGCGCACTGTTCGCACCGTCGACCGACGGTGTTGTGCTGACAGTCGTCACAGACTCCACCGCTGCTGTTTCCTGTGGTCATGTACACGGCCATGTCAAAGTGACAGGAGTAGGAGTGATGGTTACAGTCGCACTCTGAGGAAGAAACACCAAACACACACACACACACACACACACACACGTGGTCAGGGCTGTGGTCACCACAAAGAAACACTCATATGTCCTTCTCAAATTGGCATTTTTTTTGTGAGGTAATTATTTTTTGCCATTCTTGCCTTATTTGAACTAATCTGACTATGTTTTTTGTGTTTTTAATCATTTAAATAATTCTAATTTTAGCCTTTAACGCCATCTAAAAGCTATCTATCTACCTTTTCTTCTTTATTTCAGCTCATGTTTGTTATATTCATAGAATCTTTTCTGAGGCTACTTTAAGTTAGCTTTATGTTTTAAGCTACATTTTAGCCATTTCTGAGCTAATTGAATGTTTATAACCTGGCTGCTAAGCATTTTTTAAGCTTTTTTTTTCTGGAAAGAGCAGAAATTCAACGTCACTTATTTCTCTAATTATTATCGGTTCAAATGTTTACCCTTGTTATTCTGTTGGTTTAAGTCTGTTTTCTGTAGGCTATTGTTTTAGCTACTTTAGTAACTTCTTGATATGTATACATGGCTAACTTTAGCCATTCTGCTTAACAATTGTATATTTTGAACAAACAGTTAGCTTATTAACTAACTAACTAATTTGCCCTGTTTTGGTGTTTCTGGTTTTATTTGCTCCCTCACTCTTGCAGGCGTTGGTGTTCCGTCCTTCTGCTGGCTTCCAGGGCTGATCGTGGTAGAAGTCCTGACAGCGTTCACAGTTCAGTCCCTCAGTGTTGTGGTTACACACGCAGCGGCCGTGGACCTGTTAGCAAAAATAAGTTCAGGTACAGAATCTACCTCCACACAGTGTTGCTGAGATGTTTCAGTTCGATACAACAGCAAAGAATGTATCCAGTTAGCTACAGTTTTCTTAACCTCTCTATGTTACAAATTTGTTTTAGAAACTATTAGCTTTTTAGCTAGCGTTCAATTTTAGTTTTAATATACTTTAACCTTACTAAGAATTCTGACTAGTTTTAAGCTATCTCAATGCTAACTTGTTACCTCTCATATGTATTGGTAATTTTAGCTAACTGTCTACATTTCTGGCTAACTTTAGGGTTTGTTCAAGTTAGCCTATGTCGAACTTTTTGGCTTCCTTTCAGATACAGTTTGATACATTTTTTTGTTCACCAAAAATGTGTCATTGTATCTTTGCTCCTGCTAGACAATTTTCTCCCTTTTTTACTTGTTATTGTTCAAATCTGAAGTTAGCAGCTATGCTAACTGTGTGATTTCTGCCGTGACGTGTCCTCGTACCATGCCCTCAGCTCCAGTAGGCGCTCCGTAGATCGGGGCACACTCGGAGGCGTGTCCGTAGCAGAAACAGTTCCCACGCACGACCATGTCGTAGAGGGCGTAGTAGTATTTGTCCTTCACCTCGTCACGGGAGTCCAGCATGTTGTCACCCAGGGTGTGGATCTTCATGAAGTTCACACGCAGGTTAGTGATCTTCAGCATGTCTGCACACACACACACACACGCACACACACACACACACACACAATATTTGAAAACCTCTTTCAACAAAGTGAGTCAGAATATTTCCAAACACACGAGGCTTTCACCACATATTTGACACAAAACATCTGTATGTGTGTGAGTGTGTGAGTGTGTGTGTGTGTGTGTGTGTGTGTGTGTGCACTGGAGAGTTGGCTACAGGTGACTCTCTAAAAATGTCTTCACACTCTTCTTCTTCTTCAGTCCAACCTCTGCTGTTACTTTTTTTTTCTTCTAGAAAAACGTCTTCAAATCCCTGGTAAACGTCTACATTTCAGTAACTCTGTCGTCTTACTCTGAATCCTCACGCTGTAGGGGTCCTCGATCTTGAAGACGGGATCCAGGACACGTAAGATCACCTGAAGGAAGTAAAACAAAGTGAAATCAGAGTCTGTCCCACATCAAAGTTTAAACTAACGCCTGTGATCTCCTCACCTCTCCTTCTGTGGACGGTTCGATGTCTGAGTAACGCGTGTCGCAGATGATGTCGTCCACTTTGACCACGGGCCCCTGGGACACGCCGGGGAACGAGGATTTACAGTCGTAGGCGAAGTAACGATACACCTGCCAGGTCTTACCGTAGTCCATGGAGCGTTCGATGACCATGGCGGCTGGACGAAAGGTCTGCGAGGACAAACAATGATTAGGCCGCCTTAAAAACAGAGGAGGTGGATCAGCTGTCTGTTATTAAGATCCATGAGGACTTTGGTACAGAGGAGAAGGAGAGTATTATTTGACATCACTTCATCCAACAATATTTGGAAATATTGTTGGATTACTTTTTTTTTGATGTCAGGAAAACTCAACTTCCGGACTTCCTGTCCTGCCTGGATTTTCCGGACATTTTTCTTTTGTTATGATTTGACTTTCCTAAAATAGCAACAATTCTAAGACGATTTGGACAAAACCCCTTCAGATTTTCAGTCACAACAGGATGCTACTTTTCCAGGTTAAGTACCAGCACCTTTTAAAAACCTTCAAGGCCCCATTCAAGTTCCTTTAGCAAAAAATAAAAAATAAAAAAAAAGATCATTTATATTAAAGTTGGCTTTTTTACAATCATTCTTTGGGACGATAACAACATTTTTATTGCTAGTTTAGTTGTTTTTTTTTTCTTATTCAACAACAACAAAATATTCCTCTTTGACGTTGACACGTTTACAACCCGCTGTTCAACAGTGTTAGTTGAGGTCTGCCATTGGACTGAGAACAGTGAGACACAGGATGTTCACTGTGTGTGTGTGTGTGTGTGTGTGTGTGAGTTCTAATGATGTCAGCCACACTCATGAATCCAGCTGTTCACCATTACATCCAACCATGTGACAACAATCAGAGGCTCCTTCTTCTCCTCCTCCTCCTCTTCCTCCTCTGGTTTCCCACCGTTCTCCAGAGACAAGAACATTTTCCCACATTCCGTCTCCACCGCTGCTGTAAGCCATGATTATCTCCCCTTTATCTGTGTGGTAATATGTGTTTGTGTGTTTGTGTGTGTGTGTGTGTGTGTGTGAGGAGGAACAAGCACCTTGAAGGTCATGATGACATGTGTGAAGTGAAACTCTGCCTCCAGGTCCAGCTGGATGGTGACGTTCTCCACACCTACAGGCGGAGGAGACAAACAGGAAGTCCGTTTATTCAACACACTGTAGCCTTCAAGGCATCACATGTAAATGAAGAATTAGACTGATGAACGGCAGACAGCAGAGGTGGCGCTCCTTACCCTCCGTACCTGTTCTGTGTCAATGCTGAGGCCAAATCAGGTTCTACAGGAACCAGTGCTTTTTTCATTCTTTTTCTGATACTATGTTTTAGCCCTTTACAACATTATTTATATATGTATATGTGATGCTGAGGCCAAATCAGGTTCTACAGGAACCAGTGCTTTTTTCATTCTTTTTCTGATACTATGTTTTAGCCCTTTACAACATTGTATGTGCTGTATATATATGTGTATATATATATATATATGTATATGTGTGTCCCTAGAATATTGTTTCCCAAAGACTGGGTCGCGACCCTCAGGTGGGTCTCAAGAGGGGGTTTTTTTGGGTCGTCTTGCATCATGTTTCCCAGGAGTCCATTGACTTGGGTCGCGAAGATTTGTGACTTTTAAAATATGGGTCCCCAGAAGTAAAGTTTGGGAAACACTGCTCCTGCTGTGACACTGTGGGACCATCACAGGACTTCTCATCACAGGACTTATCTCTCTGGTTTTCCTCCATATTGTGACCGTGGTCACCTGCTGTAAACACTGACCTCTCTCAGTGAAGGACTGACGCAGTCTAATCTAATTCTCTCCGTCGGTCTAACACAGTCAGCTGATTTGGCTTCACTTTCACCGCAGCTAAACCAAGTTAAGCCGTAACCGAACGTCAGATGTTTCACTGCTCTGGACTCCGACTGCAGCGGCCGCAGCCGAGGGTCCAGGAAATCCTCAGTGAACGTCAGCAGCTTCCTGTTGTCAGGAAAAACATCTGCAGCTTCTGACCATCAGAGAAACTCTGACAGAGAACGTGGGAGAAAACACAGCCGTGGTTTGTTCTGCTGCTGCGGCTGGAGATGAATTTCTGTCATCGATCCAGGTTTTTTTTTACAATAGATTTAATGGATTATTGGAACTGGATTATGTTTAAATCTTCCTAATTCCCTCTATTAAAATCAAATGTATCATCTACTAAACTAGGATTAACAACAACTTACACCAGGGTTGTTGGCAAATGCTGTTCAGTACCTAATGTTCTAGTACCTAATGTTCTAGTACCTAATGTTCTAGTACTAGTAGTAACGTAGTAAAGTGGTTACAGGTGTCCCTAATAAAGAGGTACAGCTGTATATTTAAGAAGTTCTTGTCTTATTGTCTCGTTTCATTGTCCTCCTGAAAAGCTTCAACCTGAATTCACAGTCTGTGGAACTATTTCCATCCTGTTGTTTTTTTTCTTCTTCTTTAACTTCCTGTCCGTTCCCCTTCCTGTTTGTCAGACTGGGATTATTTTCCATTCCCACACTGAAGCTCTCATCTCCTCCCTGTCTCCTCACACACTTCCTCTGTCCCACTGAACACACATCTGTTCAATATGTGCACACCTGTTCTCCTCAGCACACCTGCAGGCCCCGCCCCCTGGCCCCGCCGTGATTGGCTGCACTCAGGTTCCCTCTGATCTCCAGTCTAGTCATTATTCTGACTCCAGTTCCCACCAGAGGTGAATCGGTGAGAAAAACACACGTCTTTACGGCTACGCGTTAGAGTCCAGGAACTTAGTCACCACGGGGGAGTGGTTCTCAAAGTGGGGAGCGCAGCACGGCAATTGGCTTTTCAAATGTTTATATTTTGTTTAAAGTGTTTTTAAATGTAATTCAGTGGAATTTCAAAGAAATGGCTGTGTTGGTTGATGTAGAGAGGGGTTGATGGTTGTTGTGTCACTGTTAGGTCAGTGTCACGTGGTGTTGTTACGTCACTGCTCGGTGTGGTTGTGTGGTTGTAGGTCTCTCACCGTTCTCCGACTGCCACCAGGTTTTCAGACGGTTGTGTGCGAAGGTCGTGACCACGTCCTTGATGGTGTGACTGAGAGGGTTTGTGTCCTCCCTGGAGTCGCACGTGAAACATTTGGTGTTCTCCTGAAGGACAGGAGTGAGGAGGTGTTAAAGGGACAGTACACACTAACTCACACAGCTCAGTGTGTTCTGTGATTGTGTGCAAAGTGAATTCATTCAAATGATTTACTGTTTATTTATGTCACGCTGCAGCTCTCTCTGTTTAACGATGCAGTGGCTGAACCACAAGGTTTTGGCCTGAGCTCAGGCTCAGCTCTGGTTCACATTATGTCACTGTGTGAATAAACAAGTTTCTCAATTTCAGCGAGCGCCAGCCAAACATCATCTGTGTGGAAACATGAGCCCAGTCTGGAGAAGTAGATTCACGTAAACGGCAAAACAAAACGTGAAGTGAAGACAGACCGTGGACAGTCACTTCCTCTACACTTTATCTGCAGCCCATTCTCCTCCACTGTTGTAAGAAGGACCAGTCTGACTGACATGACCTCACCCAACGGGACGTCTCATCCAAAAGACAGAAGAATATTCCATAAAGTCCCTCCCCCGCCTGCTCCACATCCTCGACAGTGCAGGGATTGTGAGGCCGCACAGTGAATTTATTGTGGAGGAGAATGTCTGAACTCCCACGACAGCAGGGGGTGTGAGCAGATAATGTTCTAGTGTGAGCTCCACAGATGAAGCTGAAATGGATTTTGGGCCAAATTGAGGGGTTTGATCTTCAAAGGATTCACTTATTAATGGCAACAAAGAAGTAGGAACAAACGTCTTGACTAAAATAAAAGTCTTTCCTGTCCATTTAGTAAATATGTCCAATGCAGCGGACACTTTGACTGACAGACTGCATTCACGGCTCTCTGTATTCTCATATATTGTATTTATTCTAAGTTACTACAAAAGTACTTCTGTCAACTTTGCCCACGTTTGGAAAGTTTTTTTTATATTTTCTGATATTACATGTCATTATTTTTTACATAATATGTGTATACATAAACATGTGTATATATGTGTAAAATTACATAATAATGTGATTTTACATATAATTACATTTTTATTATTAGTGTTTTGAGGCTTTTTTTTACATGTGTTTTTTAATTTTAATTAGCTGTGATGCTAAATATTCCATTTTGGAATGGGATGTGACCCAGTAGTAAACCCGACCTGTGTTCATATTATGTTTCATATAAATATAAATAGTGTAGCAGCTAAGTCTGAGGACTTGAGTCTGTCTGATGCCAGGGTTTTTATAAGTTGTTCTTACTTCCAGGTGTCCTACGATGCAGAACCTCTCCGGTTGGTCCAGTCCACAGGTGGAGGTGGCGCTCAGTTTGTGAGCTCGGCCGATTAGCAGGTCACCTGTGGCCGGGTAACAGCTGCCCTCTGTGCAAACATCTGGGAACTCTGGGAACTGCAGGGAACTCGCAGGGTTCCACAACACTGAAGACAGGAAGAGGAGAAACACACATTAAGGATGACTTTAAATAATAGTGAAATTAACAGAAGCACAGCTTGAGTGTGGTTGGAGTTTTAAAATAAAAATCACATGGATTCACTCTGAGTGTGTGCAGCACGTTTGACATTTAAAAAAGTGTGTGCAGCACATGTTTGACATTTAAAAATACCAAAGCAGGGTTTTTCCAACTGTTTGTAAAGCTCCTTTACTTGCATTCTACCAAACTCCATTCAAAGTTTAGTCTTTTTAGTTTTTAACTCATCACAGCTTTTAAACACAGCCCTCCAATCATTAAATGTTTTGATTAATACAACCTCTGGAAGCTGTAGTTGTATTCTGCTAACAGATTACTACTATGAAGAAATGTTTGGAGAGTTAAAGTCCATTACTCCTGAGTTTGACAGTTTATCTGGTTCCCTTTACACGTTCTAAACAAGTTCAAATAAACAGAAAGGCAAAGCTAAAAGGTTTTCCACTCACCCAAAGCTGTCACCATGAAGATCATTATCTTCATCTTCTTCTTCATCACAGTGGTGATATGAGCAGAAAGCAGATTACGAAGCTCCTGCGTTTTACACACTCCAAGAGTGTGTGTGTGTGTCTGTGTGTCAGTGTGTTTAGGTGTGTGTAAAAAAGTTTGTGTGAAGTTTGAGACGGAGTCAGGGAACAGTTTCACTCGAGAAAAAGTTCACATCCATCCCATAAACCAGCCCATAGCCCGCAACTCCACCCAGCTCTGAAGAGAGAGCCAAAAAGCAACTGCGCCATCTGATGGACACATTTATATACACCGCCACATGTCAGGATACGTTTTTAAGTCTGGTAAAGAATCATTTTTACATTAATCAAAAATATAATTGAAATTGTATTTATTTTAGTTATTTATTCTTATTTTTTGTTTTAAATGTTATCATTTTTAAAGAGACGTTTTGATTTAAAAATCAAAGTACGCACAGGGGTGTAAACCATACGACTTTTTACAAAAAAATAAAGACATAAAAAATAAGACAACAACATGAAACATAAACGACAATGTATAAAAACAAGATGGATGTTTTTTTTAATCGTTGGACCTGAACGTCGTTCCGGATGTACGCCGTCGGACGTGTTTCACAGTGGGACAGGAAGCAACTTGAGGTTACAGGAGTCTTTGCCGAAGACTTTTACCTGGTAAGTTTTTGGTAGTCCTGTGTGTGATGTTTATATCAACAAAAAGGTCAGCACACATTTATTTCGCGTTTATCTTTTTAATGTGACACAAACGTGAAAGAAAACCTGGAAACTGAGTTTTTGTGTCTTCTTCTGTGGGCGGGAGTCAGTAAGCCTCGTTGCTGTTGCTGTGAGATAACCATAAACGGTGTGAATTACACATTTACACCGGGATTTTCTCCCCTCGAAGACACTTACAAATTGTTTGAACAAGAATTCCGGGATTTTCTCCCCTCGAAGACACTTTGTTTTGAACAAGAATTGGTTTTTTTAACCCGCACCAAACTCTGTTAAGAAATACGTTTTATTTTCGCCGCACCAAACTCTGTTAAGAAATACGTAAGTTTTATTTTCGTTTTTTTCGCGGTAATTACATGTTAGCAGGAAATTATTTCGTATGAGAAAGTTTCGAGTTTCAGTGCAATAACGAGATTAAAATCTCTATCTTTATTGACAAATATAATTTTAGCAAATATTTAGCACCCCTCAAAATGCTGATATTAATCCTTATATTAATGCTTTTATATAAAAATGCTTTTTTTGGGTTTTTTAATTAATTAATTCTTCCTCATCGTTTTAACAATAGAGTCAATAATGTATTTTTATTTTGGTAATGGAGAATATATGTGATTTTTTTTAGAATAGTTTTAAAAGAATTTAGAAGAACATTTTCTATGAATTTGAATTTAGTGACATTTCTGTTTCATATTGTTCCAGATCATTCTACAGCTGCCTTTTATAAAACAGAGACACAATGTTGAGAAAGGTAGCTGCACAGGTGAGAAGAAAGTCATCACATTGCAATTTACACTTTAAATTTATCGACTAAAGCACATCAATGATGAGGGATACACATTTTCTGACCTGAATCTAGGATAGTTTTTCAGTTTGTGATGTCTGTTTCAGGTCTTCAGACAGACGCTGAGACACAACAGCACAGATGTCAATTTAATCCTGGAGAAATGTGAGTAAAGACTGTGTGTTCATATCTTTTACAAATTGTATTTACTTGTAAAAGCCCTCTTGGTATCACAACCTTTTTAGGGTAAAGCATAAAAAGTTGAACATAAATGTGTCTGTTTGTCAGTTTGTTTTCTACATTAAAACATTATGATATAGTTTTGGTCATTTGGGGTTTAATGGGTGACACTTGTGTTATATCTAGCGGTGAACAGAGTCCAGCTGCTGGGCCGAGTTGGTCAGGATCCAGTGATGAGACAAGTGGACAGTAAAAACCCTGTGACCATCTTCTCTTTAGCCACAAATGAGATGTGGCGCTCAACAGAAGGAGAAACAAACCAGGCAGGTGAGAAGTCCCCGTACTCTCCAAGTCATAGTGTGTGAGCGGTAAGAGGAAAATAGTTCATTCGGAGGAGCTGAGCTATGATTAATTATATGAAGAAAAGTGGGTTGGTAACAAAATAAAACGTGTTAACCAGTTAACAATATCAGGCAGATGATGTGTTGATCTTGTTTTTGTTTAGCCACTAGAGGTCATTGTTGAATTTAGCAACCACCAGTTTATTAGCAGGTTTACATTTTCACATTCACTCACCTGTGTTCCTAGTCTATTTATTTTTTTAGAAACTGATATTAACATTAATTTATGATAAACAAAATACATTCTGGATTTTTAACACAAACATTAAAACAAACAATGTTGCTTTTTTCCAAAGCAACATTGAGTGATTTTTTTTTATGGTCTGTATTGTCACTGTACCACGAGGATACAACGAAACTGAGCCTCTGCTTTTAACCCATCACCAAGGGGAGCAGTGGGCAGCTTTTAAGCGCCCAGGGAGCAGTGTGTGGGGACGGTGCCATGCTCAGAGCACCTCTTGGAGGCTGGTAAAATATTCAGTACAGTCGTCCTATTCATCCAATATACTGTTTAACCCTTTGCGGAGACATGGGGTGGGGCGGGCTATATCTGGGTGAGGGTGGGGTACACCTAATAAATATGTATTCATGGTTTTTCCATGTTCCTATCTCCAGAACATTTTAATAATCCTTTACATTTGAAGGATTGTTTTTATGCAATTCTATCGAATTAACTGGTAAACAGACAGGTCATGTGACTGATTGGACTTTTTGCCCCTGATCCAGGTGACGTCAGTCAGAAGACGTCATGGCACCGCGTGTCTGTCTTCAAACCAGGTCTGAGAGACTTGGCGTACCAGTACGTCAAGAGAGGGTAAGGTAACCCTGTGCAGCGCAGAGACGACCACACGGTGGGAAACCTCAGTGATGCTGTTCCTCTGTCAAAACATTTGGATTTGTTTTTTGTGGATTAAGGGAAACATGATAATACAACATAACACAGAAACACAAAGATGACATAGATTTATACAATCCTTATTGGTGATTTTGGTGAAGTATGCAGAGCATCATAGAGTTGGAAGTTACTAAGTCTGCTTCTTGTCTCGTCTTCAGGTCCAGGATTTATATTGAGGGCAAACTGGACTACGGCGAGTACGTGGACAAGAATCTAGTGAGACGTCAGGCCACCACCATCATCGCAGGTCTAACTAGATGCTCATCCAAACATAAACAACCTTCATTTTGTTCTTCTTTATAAATAAACTGTCTTCTTCTCCTACCTGTCTTACAGATAACATCATCTTCCTGTCCGAGAACGTGCGAGAGAAATCCTGAAGCACTTCCCCACCAGAACTGGAGTTTTGTATGTGTGTGTTAGTTCTGGGAAGCTGAAGAGGGGATGGAGTTTTGTATGTGTGTGTTAGTTCTTACTTAAAAAGACTGGGAAGCTGAAGAGGGGGAAAAACCAACGAGGGAAACAAGTCTTTTACACACTGACCGTGACAGTAGTGCCACCTTCTGGTAGAAGAAAAACTGGCACTTAAAGCAGGGGAGAAAAGCTCCACTTCTGTATATACATTTACATTTTGATTGTGTCTAACTGTAACAAAGACTTGAGTTTTTTATGAGAAAAACAGTTCTTAGGAAAATACAAAGGTAAATGCTAGGCTAGCCAGTTCCACCAGCTTTACTTTCTTCTTTGAAAAGTGTTGGACGGGGGCGACTTTATGATCTGAAATATTATTTTTTTACTTTTCTTCTTGGTTATTTTTCTCAGTTGCTATTGGACAGGCCTGGCTTCTCATTCCACATATGTGCCACGTTTATTTTCTCACAAATTAGAACATAATATTCCACTGAGATTTGTTCTGATTTTGCTCGTCAAAACAAGCCTTATTGTATTTTTATGGCCAGTGTAGTCACTAGTAAAAGTCTCACAAAAAGTGTATGTTATGAAATATAATAATATTCTAGTTTAAACTACTCATAACTGACTAAAATCTCAACCTGTTTAGTTGAAGACAACACTGATATACTGGCAGGAAAACTGAAGAAAGACACTCACGAAGATCTTCTTTAACAAGAAGAACACCTAGCCAAAGAGTATTTAATAGTTCTGCCTTTCATGGTTTGGCGAGCAAAGAAAATTATATGCAGTAAATAAATAATAGTTTTTAGCCCAATTAAATGAAATTAGATAATTTTCCACGGCACGCCTAATGATCTCTCACGGCACAGTGGTTGGGAGTCACTGACGTAGTTGGTCCTGGAAGAATTGTTAAATTACTAAAGTAAAACAGAAGAAGGAATTTAAACTGACATACTTAGAAATTTCAAAAAGGTCAGCATTATTTTGTTATGAATTATAAATATTCTCTAATGTCATTTTTCTCAGCAGTTAAAACCCACATCAGTTTTTCCATTTCTGTCCTTTAACAGTGACTCGTTTGTTCTGCTAGTTAACTGCGCTTCTGTTTCTTATTTTACGGTTTTCCCCAGCTGTAAAAGGTCCGAATTAACTTCTCTGTTCTCAGTCATTCTCAAGTAAAAAACCCCAATAAAGGAAACTTGATTGTGGTTTGCTCGATATGACGAACTGTTACTCGTAGAACGTATGTAACTTCCTAAAAAAGAGAAGTGTGCAGACAAAAATAGTACTTGAATGTTATTACTGCGTTATTTGGAGGGCGTTTCTATCTGAGCCAAGGTATTCTTGTCTTAAACCGATTGGTCGCAGTAGGTTTCTTTCTCTTTTCTGATCTGCTAATTTTCTGTCAGTCACAGAAGTGACCGGCATGCTCAAGAAAAACAGACACGTGATTGGTCAGTCTGGATGTTTTGGGCGGAGTTTTAATGTGTGAAGAGAAACCTGAGAAATCTTTAGTGAATTTTTAAATGCGTCAGAGGAAGAAAACCGGAAATGAGATGTTTGAACTCAAAATAAAGGCAGAAGAGACTGATGTGCTTTTAATACTTTATTTTAAACCCGTTAAAATTATTACTAAATTGAAGAGAGGTGAAGAAAATTTGAAATTAATTAAGAAATTAAATTTAAAAAGTTTTAAAAGGGAAATGTGCTATGTAAAATACAATTATTTATAATTATTAGTACTTATACATATAATTTATTAAACTATTGAATCCCAAACTATGCAATGTCCAACTATAGAAAAACATTGTAAGTAATTAATTTTACTATGTATTGACTATACCTGCTGTACAGGATACTATAAATGCAAAGATAAAAAAATCGCCAAAGTATAAACTAAATCTTTGCATTGATTAATATGAATTATTTATCAATACGACATAGTAGCACTAGTATAGTACTCCTTAAAGTACTAGCAACGGCAGAAGCGTGCCTTCGACGTCAACTTCAAAAAGATCTATATTTTGAAATCCATTCCCGGAAGTTCTACATTACTTTTCATCTGGTGTTGACACTTCCAAAGAGCTGGAAAAGTCGAATAACTTCTCTATTTAAACTTTAAAATGATTATTATCGGTAATGCGTAGTATTTAAAAAGCGTCTGGACGACCAATGCTACAGTTCTGTATACGTTTAAGTGTGAATTTGTCACATTTTATCTGCCGTTTCTGGGTGTTCGGCGACTCCGCCCACAAATTCCTGAGAGTCTGGGGTTGTGAGGAGGAGGAAAGAAAAGGAAAAGAAAAGGAGAGGAGGAAGAAAAAAAAGAGACAGGAGTCAGCTGGAAACAGGGGAAGAGAGATGATTATTGTCACCATCAACAACAGAAACAACTGTAACTCTGTTCCAGAACCGGACTCTGCTGCTCCACAGCTTCTCTAAAACCAACATCTGGAAGGCTTTCCCCCTCATTCTGACTTCAGTTGAAACTTTCTCCGCCTGTGGACTTGGAGCTGGAGTTTCCAGTTTCCAGTTTGACTTGAGCTGCAGTTAAAACAGACAGGCAAACTTCGACACTAGATATTCGGCTTGTACTGCTCCTGGAGCAGCTGGAGAAGGAGTAGGAAGAAAAAGAAGAACCGACAACCATCCAGCGTGTCTCCGTGTTTGTGTTGGAAGCATGGAGATCCTGGACAGTGGAGAACCGTTCCTGCACTGGGACAGGAACCTGAGTGAACTGTCTGAGACCGGGGAGCTGGATTCAGTTCTCTACCCAAATGTAAGTCAATCTGCAGGATTGTTGTGTGAATGGCAGTCTGAGTGATCTTTAACTTTGAGACCTAAACACAGGTCCAGATGTCAATCACAAAACAGTTTGTTTTAGGTAAAGGCTCAGCTCATTTTTGTGTCACTAAAAATGTTATGCAAAAATTGACTGCATTTACAGGAAGGAAAAACGTATCTGAAAAAGAACGGTTGGTCAAATATACCACCAAACTTTTCTTCCCCTTTTCTTAGAAGAGATTTGCTAAATGCCAAAGCGCGTGCGTGTGTGTGTTTGTGTGTGTGTGTAGTGTCTGGAGCCCGGCTCTCCATTCAGGTCTGGAGTCTTGGGATCCAGATGCTGGGTTACACTGACTGCTCTGTCTTCGCTCTCACACTGGTGCTGACAAAATGCTGCAAAATAGTGAAACAAAAAACAGATGCAGTACACATTCTGGAATGTTGGGTTGTTGTTTTTTTCTCAAATCCATACTATATTTTTTTATTAGATTAAAATAGTAAAAAGTAACTTGCACTCACGTGTGATCCTAAAGAAAGAGCTCTGGACTATACTGTACAAATGCTACACCAGCCATCACAAACACAACCGTGAGTTAATGATGACAATCCAGGGTGTTTACCCCAACATTCCCACATCTGTTTGGAAATAACAATATTTTCTCCTATTTGTTTGAAGAATTCCAAAACATGTTTTGACAAAATGAATATTCTTGAGACAAAATGAATCAATTATGAAGGGTGTATTTTGGTAAATCCAGTGTCTGGGGGCAGGCTTCAGTTGTTTAGGCCCCTGTGAGCAGCGAGAAGCTCAACTTTAACATGAAGCCTGAGGTTCAGATTTCCAACTGTTCCTTTAATTCCTAATTAAAGAAACGTTTGTCCAACAGTTTCCACTGGTAGAAACAAACAGAAGATTTTGTCTTGTCTGAGTCAAGTAGCCGTCGCTTCCATCACTAATGAGCAGCAGCAGTTTTTCCTGACTCTGACTCATATTATGGTTGGGGGTCTCGGCATCTCCCCATCCCCCGCAGACACTCACAGACTCACAGTTTCCACCAAATATGTCATACTTTAATGATTTTTATTATGGAGACAAACACAAAGGGACGTCTCTGGTGTGTTGTGAGTAGGAGACACAGATGAGACGATGCTAAGAGTGGGTTGAAGAGACAGACAGGGTTTGATTAGAGGTAAAAGAGCTGGAGATTCTTCTTCTTCTCTCATTTGCATTCTCCAAACTCCAAACACTTCATCAACTCCGTGCCGATGACAGAGACGGTCATTTGGGTTCATTTTGTTAGGATTCACTTTCTAATGATGAGGCGGTTCGTCTAAACCTGTCACAGTCTGTCCTCCTACTGCTGGTCCAAAATGGACAAATGGAAGAAAATGTCAAGCCTTGTGCAAAAACATAATTGAAGTCCAGTTCATCAGCTGTGGTGACCTCTGGTGGAAATATTTAGAAAAAAAAAGTTTTATTTTGTAGACAGTCTTGTTAGTGTCCATGAAGTCATGTAGTGACCGAGAGACTGGACAGAACACGGGACTTTCCCTGACCCACGGTCAGGAATAATGTCATGCAATCTACAATGAGAGATTGATAGGACTGAGTGAAACTGACTTTTACCGTGGCTCAACTCAAGTCTCTCTTTTACTTCCTGTCAGGGGGAAATCTAACATCTGTCTTTGGCTTTGTCAATATCATAACAGTGGAACTGAAATTTTTCAGTAGAATCTCCACCTCTGTCCAGACGTTGGCACTGACTTGATTGCTTTTTTTAAAAAAAAAAAAAAAACTTTTCTAAAATATCTTCCGTAGTCTGTTTATGCATCTTGAAAGAGGAGAAGCTGAGAAGTTGTAGGTGCAAAAACACACTGTTTGTCATAGGGATTGGTAGTCGATCTTTTTTTTTGAGTGAAGGAGATTTAAATGTCACGCTGTGTGTGTGTGTGTGTGTAGTGTGTGTAGTGTGTGTCTGTCGGTGTCTTTGTGTGGGTGGTTTGGCTCCCCCAAATGAAGGGGGAGTGGTTTGGTTTACAGGGGAAAAATCCAGCTGGTCTGCAGGAGGGTAATCAGATACCAGAGGGGCCGACGGGGCCCGAGAGTCAGACAGTCGACAGTCACACACACACACACACACACACACACACACGCTCACGCACACACCTTGGCATTTAACCTCAGTTGAAAAGGTAGAGACAGGTAAAGACTTGTGCCGGAGCTGTGGCTGTGGCTGCTCTAATCACATCCTGAGGCTACCCTTTCTGATCCACTCAGCACTATAACACTGCAGCAGCAGCAGCAGCAGCAGCAGCAGCAGCAGCAGCAGCGTGTCATCTTTTATGAGAAATCCCGTTGGTTAGCTAGCGTTCCTTACAAAGCTGCATTTGTTCAAAGCTCCAGGTGTCTGAGCGCTCACCGCTGCCATGCCTGCGTCCCCTGCAGAGGCAGCATCATAAAGTACTGCTCACCTATGCAATAAGGTCTGACCAATGAGGATGATCGGATGGTCCCTGCTGTCAACCACTCACAGTCTTCGCTCAGGGCCTCCGTGCTTCGTTCCCCGAACTGGGTCATCGACCAACATGTGTTTGTAGATCGCACAGCAGCAGCATATACATATATAAATACATATATAAATATAAATATATATATATATATAAATATATATACACATGTATGTACAGTACACATATATTGTCAACTAACTATATATGTATTTATATATGTGTGTGTACATATATGTACAAATATGTACATATATATGTACATGTATGTACATATATATGTACATAGTTGTACATATATATGTACATGTATGTACACATATTTTGACAAGTAACTACATATATGTATATATATAAATATATATATATACACACATATATATGTGTGTGTGTGTGTACATATATGTACATACAGTATATATGTATGTACTGTATATTGGAATTTTAAATTAGTTTCCCAGGTCCTTCACACTCTGAATGTGAGTCATTGTTGGTTCCTGTCAGTCCTCTCTCACTCACCGTCTCAGGGCGTTTTCTCGACCGTACTGCAAACAACTGGGTGTTTTTTTTTTTTCTCTCTGCGGGTGTCACCTGCAGTTTCACATCTCTACTTTATACAGGCCTTTATTGTAACCAGGTTCCAGAAATGATCTGAGGAACCAGAGTAAAGTAACTCACTTAGGCCTATTAACCCTTTCTTTATTCAAATAACAGGTATTATATACAGCCGAGTGACAGGAAGACAAACATGAGAACCACAATCTGTTCTTCACTAGTACCAGGGACAGTACAGTTGGTCCAATCTGTTCTTCACTAGTACCAGGGACTATACAGTTGGTCTGGTCTGGGCTTTCAGTAATAGGTGAACATGATTTTTTTTTTTTTTTTTTGCCAAATTGGACTTTTCACCAATCCCAGCTATTCATGTATTTTTGACTAAAAGTGAGGATATGCAGACTGTCAACACTGACTCACTTTGTTTATCCAAATGTGAGGTTTTCGTGGTCTAACTGGTGAACTCTCAGGGCTATTTATGTCCGTTTCGTGGACCTGCGAAAGTCGGGTTTTGCATTGAGTTTGTACAAAAATTTGCACCAAGTTTAGTTCATGCAAACCATAAGTCACAGTTAGATGTGCCTGACTGGCAGTGAAATCTTCTGGCGTTACTGTGCGGAGAAACACAGCTACAGAAAGCGATTGAAAATTCCTTGAATTTAACGTTAGCCTTTGCCAGATCTCTCAGTCGTACTTTCCAAACATCTGTATTCCGCATATCGGAGTCGCCCTGGCTCGAGAACTCGCTTGAACTTGTCTACCTCAAAAAAAGAAGTATTAAAAAAAGTGGCGTGCTTCTCCACACATGGCTTCCTCCTGCTCTTTTCTGCTGCTGCAGTCGTGGAGAGACAGGAGAAGAAAAAGAAAAGCCAACATGTATCTGCCGTGCAGATGCTTCAGCGTCTGCTTACATAAGAGCCGTAACTCCAGCTGCAGCTGCTGCAGGGTTGACACTCCGGGTGTAGGTGTTTTATTCAGACACACCTTCTCTGCACACACGTGCACACTTACGCATGCACGGAGCTGAGGGTCAACAGCCTGACGAGACATGTGCTCATAGTGCAGGGCCTGTTCTCCAGCAGGGCAGGGCATCCTGCTCCGTGGTGGCCTGGCTCTGGAGCTGCTCTCAATGGTGCGAGTGTCTGCGGCTGTCCTGTTCCTCCGGTGACGGTGTTAAGCTAAAATCTGCCAACACAGCATATTTATTAGTATGTAGTATTTCTGCCATTAGATCAGAGTCTAATTTTTGGCCTGATAACAGAGTCTACTCTAAACTATCGTAACCGTCCGCACTTTTTTATCACCAGATCAAAGGTCTAAGTGTCACCAATGTTTGTATACACACGGACACATGTTCCCTGATTCAAAACCAGCACCTGATTCAGCTGCAGCTTGTCCATGTGAGACACATGCGGCTTTATCTGGCTAGCCTGTATCATGCTACTTAGCACGCGGTGGTTTTGGTTGGACGGATGGTTCAGATATCACTGGGGACAATAGTGTGTGAACAAAAAACTTTTTTAACTCCATAAAGCCATAAAAGTAAAAACAAACAATCAACCCGTTTGGATGCCAAAATCTTATGCACGGGACAAAATCCTGGATAATATTTGAAGTAAACACAAACATTGACTAAGTTTTGATTACGATGTTTCAAAAAGGTTGTTTGCCCCCATGTTTACAGAAATGTTCACAAAGTCCAGCTACTGTTGAGTCGGCCAAAAACCAAAGTAAAGTTAGCCAAAACCAGTTTGAAGTTAGTCGACAAGCCTTTTCTTCTTCTTCTTCTTTTGGCTGCTCCCTTCAGAGGTCACCACAGCGCCCCCATCGCTCCTTATTTTCTTGTATCCTCTGCTTTTACCCCAACAATCTCCATTTTCACCATCACTATCTCTACGGATCATATGTGCAAAGGTTAGGTTAGCATAAATC